TTTTGCTTTCATTTCCCAGCAGGCACACAACATCATAAGACATTACTACTAGGTTAGATTTAGGTTGTGACGTCAGATGACCAAAATTCAATGTTTAGCCAATGTCTAAGGATAATGTTATTTTGAAGTTCATTGACGGTTGATTTTAGGTTGTGTTGGAAAGTGATCAAAATTCAATGTCGAGTCAACATCTTAAACCAACATCAAATACAGATAGTTATTCATCAGGTATGGCAACTAAAATCTAACATCTGATAGACGTCATAGTGGTAACGTCCACACAACATCAAGCTAGAACATCATTAGACGTTGTTATTTGGTTGATTTTAGGTTAGACGTTGACGTCGACCTGACGTTGGCATGATGTCAACCCGATTTTCATTTCCAAAAAAATGCAACATCAACGTCAATCCCAACATCAATTCCACATGATGTACAACGTCAATATGACGTTATGTTGATGTCCTGTGCCTGCTGAGTCTATTTAGGCAATTAGAGAGGCGGGGAGGGAGGTTGTCCCTTCCCTAGTAGCAAAGAATTCTGGCCCAGATTTGGCATTAAGCTGGCACAGCAGGCATTCATCCGGCACTGGCATACAGCATGTGGGCCAACCATGGCCCGGGTTTGGCAGAGGTGGCACCGTCTATAATGCGGCACACAAGATTTGGGCCAGATGTAAAACGTAGTATTTGGCCCAGATTTAAAAAATTGATTGTGGGCCACGTGAGTTTGGCCAGTCTTGACCCACATTTAAAATACATTAAAATAATTTTTGATTAAATAAATCAATTCTACCAATCAGGTCACTGAGAAAAAACAAGGCCCATAGTGTGCCTAAAGCGCAATGCTTCATGGGTTTATCAATTTCATTGCAATCGTGACACACCAACCTTACTGGCCCAGTTCAGGCCCAGTTATGAGTTATTAACTTGGCTGAGACTTGGCCCAGATATGGTCTGTGTTTGGCCCTTGTCTAGAAGCCAGATTTGGTCCAGTCATGTACCGTAATTCACTGCGGCATGTGGGCCAAGCAAAACCTGATTGTGTGGGCCAGAGCTGGGCCAGAGAAATTTTGCTATGTGGGTTATTTTCACATCCCAATGTTCACTGGTATGGCTTGAAACTATACTCTCATTTTGGCATAATATTCATTCATTTTCGTTCAGCTTAGTTCCTTCATTTATAAGGGTTCGCCACAGCGGAAGGAATCGCCAACTATTCCGGCATATTTTTTGCACAGCGGATGCCCTTCCAGCTGCTACCCAGTACTATGAAACACCTATAAACACTCGTTCACACCCATACACTACGGCTAATTTAGTTTATTTAATTCACCTATAGTGCATGTCTTTAGACTGTAGGGAAAATCGGAGCACCTGGAGGAAACCCATGCCAACATGGGAAGAACATGCAAACTCCACACAGAAATGCACACTGGCCCAGTCGGGACTCGAACCAGTGACCTTCTTGCTGTTAGGCGATAGTGCTAACCACTGAGCCACCATGCCGCTATCAAATAAATAAATATTTATTCTTAGTGTGTCTGATTCCAGCGACGCTCCAGGGACAGACGAGTCTTCGCTGAGGCAATCTTCCAGCCTCCACCACGGTGACTGAAGCTCTGCACAAGACTTTTGGCCAGCGGAGAAATTAAAATGGTCGTGCCCAACTGAGTCTGGTTCTCTCAAGGTTTTTTTTCTTCACTCCCATCAGGTGAAGTTTTTTTTCCCTCTCCGCTGTCGCCACTGGCTCGCATGGTTCAGGATTGGAAGAGCTACGCATCGATGAATTTGCTCTTCAGTGTTTGATTAAATCACACTGAACAGAGCTAAACTGAACTGAACTGAACTTAAACACTAAAAACTGAACTACACTGTTCCAGTTACTATGACCATTTATGTGAAGCTGCTTTGACACAATCTATATTGTAAAAGCACTATACAAATAAAGCTGAATTTAATTGAATTGAATTAGTACACAATGAAAATACAGAAGATTCACGCTTTAAATATTAAAATATCTAAACCTTTGGTCATTTTTGATTTAAAAATCTATGCTAAGCTAAACTAAGCTATGCTAAAAGTGCTCTTGTCAGACCCAAAGACCAACTGAATGGATAAAAAAATGGTAAAGCTCAATTGTAGGGTAGTTGTAAAACGAGCCTATTTCCCAAAAGTAGAGTGCTCCTTAAGGTCTTCTGAATGGTTCTCATTAAATCTTTAGACCCAGAAGATAAAATGAGAACACACCGGAAAAACAGTCTTATTGAAACCTCACTCTTTCAAACTGTGTTATGTAATCGTGTCTCGATCCATATGAAAGCGGAGCAGAAAGATTTAGCTGCTTAGCTAAGAGCGAAACCCTGAAACTCTCACTGTAATCTTATCATCCTTGTATCAACACTTGCTGATGTGGAGTACGGTTACAGTGTGTTAGACCAGGCTTTCACAAAGTGTGATGTGTGAGTTTATGAAAAGCTAATACATGAATGTAAAATCAAAGTAAAACAATTAAAATGAATCTGAGGGGCAGCATAGTGGCGCAGTGGGTAGCACGATCGCCTCACATCAAGAAGGTCACTGGTTCGAGCCTCGGCTAAGTCATTTGGCGTTTCTGAGTGGAGTTTGCATGTTCTCCCCGTGTTTGTATGGGTTTCCAATGGGTGCTCCAGTTTCCTCCACAGTCCAAAGACATCCGCTATAGGTGAATTGGATAAACTAAAGTGGCCGTAGTGTATTTGTGTGAATGCAAGTGTGTATGGGTGTTTTCCAGAGTTAGGTTGCAGCTGGAAGGGCATCCGCTGCTGAAATGCCATCTGACCCAGCCGGGACTGAAACCAGCGATCTTCTTGCTGTAAGGCAACAGTGCTAACCACTGAGGTTTTAATTTATTTACAATTTGTAAAAATAAATAAAAACATTCATCAAAAATAATCGAGTGGTCTTTTTGGTTTGTCTTCCCACAGGATACTGGTAAGAAATGCTTTAACGCAAACAGAAAGGTTTTAAAAGTTATGTTAATGTCAATTTTAAAGAGAGATTAAGTTATGTACGAAATGAATACATTTTCAAATAAATGAGTTTGCATTTCTGTCAGGCATAAGATAATTTACCTAGACATACAGTACAGTACAATGCATGTATTTATGGGAATCAATACATATTTAGGACCTCTGATCCTCTCAATGATTGATCCACATTTGCTCCAGCTAATCTACAACTCGCACATCTATTATGGTTTATAGCGGTCCCTCAATCTACACACCAAAGATGAATTACTGCAGTGCTGTTTATGATCCCACTATAAAAGACTGGATTTTAGGCATATAGCATACAGTATATACAGCTGAAGTCACAATTATTAGCCCCCCTTTGATTTTTGTTTTATTTATTCTTTTTTAAATATTTCCCACATGATGTTAAACGGAGCAAGGATATTTTCACAGATAGTATTTTTTCTTCTGGAGAAAGTCTTATTTGTTTTATTTCCCCTAGGATAAAAGCAGTTTTACATTTTTTTAAACATTTTAAGGTCAAAATTATTAGCCCCTTTAAGCTGTATCTTTAAAGCATTTAAATGTCACTTTAAGCTGTATAGAAGTGTCTTGAAAAATATCTAGTCAAATATTATTTACTGTCAACATGGCAAAGATGAAATAAATCAGTTATTAGAGTTGAGTTATTAAAACTATTATGTTTAGAAATGTGTTGAAAAAAAATCTTCTCTCAATTAAACAGAAATAGGGAAAAAAATAAACAAGGGGGCTAAAAAAATCACAAAACTCTCTGGATCGCTGCTTTTACTTTGATGCGTGTTTGAGGAAAACAATCAGAATTCATGAATTTATCTAAATAAAAATAGACATGACTGTTTTTTCTTGTCCAGAGTCACATTTTTTGTTTTATTCTGTACATGACGGATTACAGATCATCAATTGTTTAAATTAAAGAGTTGTATGTATAAAGATATTTTTAAAATAACAATGATGTGCTACTTCCACACATGTTAATCCTCATTTTAAAAGTTATGAGTTTAAGATTTTAGGTGATTTTTAATTACAACAAATAAAAGATTAGTTATACTGATCATTGTAATAATCAGAAAAACAGAAAGCTCCAAAATGACAGTATTTTTATTCTTTTTTTTTTTAGAAATATTGGGAAATCTTTATAAATTAAAACAAATATAAACATTTTGCTCAAACCTATACCTAATAAATCATGAAAAAGGTTTTAAGGATTCACACTAGCTGATGATTGATACTAAAGCTTGTTTGGCATGCTGTCCCTGGAGAGGGCCCTGAGCTCATAAGATACTCAAGCCCGGGGCTCCCTCCCATTTGCAAGGCGAGAAGGGAGTTTGAGCTCAGGTAGGTCTTGAGAACTCCTCTGCTGTAGTAGCTAATAAACAGATAGTGATTGCCCTTAAGAGATAACTTCTTACTAGGAGCATGTCTATGGTGCTGATTTGGATTAGTCAATTAACTTAAGTTGCATGTTTTTGGATGGTGGTAGGAAACCGGGGAACCCACGTGAGCATATGGAGAACATGTAAACTCTGCGCGGAAATGTCGGCTGGCTTGGTAAGGATTAGATCCAGTGACGTTCATGCTGTGAGGCAACAGTGTTAACCACTGAGTCACCATGTCACCCATCTAGGAAAGGAGGAGGAGTAGAAGTGGAAGGGGGATTCTTCAAAACAAAGATGGCTGTTATATGAAACTTAGGGTATTTATAGAGCCTTAGGAATCGTCTGATTGGTGAATCATGAATTGAATAATGCGGGACCAGCTGTGATCAATCATAAGTATGTGATCATCTCTAAAATAGTTTATGAATAAACTTCACTTAATTCAATTTTTATTTCAACACTAAACTTTTGAACAACACTTATAGCACTGGTGTGTTTCCGTGAACAAACCTAAATACAGCATCACAAAAATATCTCAGACCTCAATGCTACAACTGACCAATCAGGATTGAGTATTAAAGCATTCTTACCTTGAGTTGCACCAGATGCACATCCACATGTCTATTGCTGCTGTCCTGCTGCACAGAGTGTGTGAGATCTCGGACCCTCTCCGTGGTGGTCCTCAGCCAGGTCTCGATCTCCGGCAGATGGAGAACCACCTTCCAGTCGGCCCCAGTGTGGAGAGGCGGAGGTTTCTGGAACCTGCGGTAGGGATCTTGTTTCTGGGTCGACCCATCAGCGCTAACGCTGGGTTCACACACGTCTGGATCATCATGTTTATCAGGGCCCGGTTCCAGGGTTGGGGTCACTGCAGTTATCATAGGGGACGAAGCCTCACTGGCATTTGGTGATATGACAACGTTCATGGTGAAATGTAATAGGATCCTGAGGATGGGGACTTTTGGTTTATCTGTTTAGAAAAAAGAAACAAAAAAATGAGAATGGGATTAAAAAACAAACAAGGGTAACACTTTAGTTTAAGAAACAATACACACACTGTAAAAAAAATGCTTGGTTCCACACAATCAATTAGTGTGTAAGGTGAAGTGAGGCTATGAAGTTGAGGATCCAAACACAGGTTGATTAAATGAATAATCAGGCAAGCAACAGTCAACACCGCAGCAAACGTAGACGGGCAATCTAGAGTCGTAGTCAAATAAACAGGCAGATGGTCAAAAGGCAGGCAGTAGACAGGAATAAACAAACAAAACAAGGCGAGGGTCAAAAACACGGCAGGACAAGGCAAGGGAAAACCCGTCGCAATGTTCACCATACAGTTTACAAGACTCAGCAGCTTGTGTGTGTTTGTGTACTGACTTTATACTCCATGTAATCAGTTCACGAGTAGCTTCAGCTGTGTCTGTCTGCAATCATGGGGATCTGGGCCAGGTGTGTGAGTGGTGCATGACTGGATCTTGTAGTCCATTTAATGGCGGATTTGTAGTTCTATGCAATGTGAATGTTCTCCAGCGATCTATGATGGTTAGATCACTTGTGATCCTGAAATTGTGTTGGGGCAACATGAAGGAATCAATTTAACTTGTTAGTTTTTACAAATTAAAGTAAATGGAACATAAAGAAATTAAGTTGTCCCCAAAATAACCAAGAATCAAGAATCAAGAATTGTGTTGTTTCAGCTCATTATGAATAAGTTGAGTTGAGTTGGCTTTATTGAAACCCGTAGGTCGATTCTTTTTGCAGCAAAGTTCGGCATTTGATACAAACAATTAAATCACACATTTACATACCCACATATACACATACAAAAGTACCTTATAAAAGATTACAATTTATTCAGAATGACAATAGATGATGGGACAAAGCTATTCCTGTAACTTTTTGTCCTACTAAAAAGCATCCGATACCTTTGACCCCAGGGGATAGTCTTCCTACTATACAGGGAATTAATACGCAGCTGTGATTCACCAATCAACCTGCTTGACCACCTAACAACTTGGCTCAGTCTATTCCTGTTTTTAAGGGACAGACTTTCAAACCATTCCGCCAGAGCATGTAGTAGTGTAAGTAGTTTGAAAAAACAGCAAATGCTGTATTTTGAGTGCACTAGGGTTGCATGATATTGGAAAAATTGGACATTACGATATTTAGTTTTCCTGGATATATATATATTGCAATAGGGCGTCACGGTGGCTCAAGGGTTAGCACTGTCACCTCACAGCAAGAAGGTTTCTAGTTCGAGTCCCAGCTGGGCCAGTTGGCATTTCTGTGTGGAGTTTGCATGTTCTCCCAGTGTGGAGAACATCTCCCACAGAAAAATGTATATTTGGAGAATAATATGGAGAATAATACTGCAAATCTCATATTTCACTCTGCTATTTTTGCTTCTGCATATGGCATAACAATATTTGGCTCTCATTAGAACACCTCAATACAGTGTTAATACATATACAATACAGTACAGTCAAGCCTCAAATTGTTCATGCTGGCAAATTCTGACTTACAGTTTTTGTTCAAATCCAAATAAAAGCTGAGAAATCATTTTCCACTATAATAATGTACATTTCTTTTACATCGTCTAATTATCTTTTGGGAGAAGCCTGTGTCATTGCTTGTCAAAAACTAAAAAAAAAAAAAAAAAAATATATATATATATATATATATATATATATATATATATATATATATATATATATATATTTACAAACATACATACATACAGTTGAAGTTAAAATTATTAGCCCCCTTGTGTGTTTTTTCCCCAATTTCTGTTTAATGGAGAGTTAAGGTTTTTTTTTTCAACACATTTCTAAACAATAGTCTTAATAACTCATTTCTAATAACTTTTTTTAATTTAATCTTTGCCATGATGACAGTAAATAATATTTGACTACATATTTTTTTTCAAGACACTCAACTAGGTTAATTAGGTTAACTAGGCAGGTTAGGGTAATTAGGCAAGTTATTGTATAATGATGGTTTGTTCTGTAGACTATCGGAAAAAAAGGGGCTAATAATTTTGTCCTTAACATGGATTTTTTTTAAAGATTAAAAGCTGCTTTTATTCTAGCCTAAATAAAACAAATAAGACTTTCTCCAGAAGAAAAAATATTATCAGACATACTGTGAAAATTTCCTTGCCCTGTTGTTTCCCATCATTTGGGAAATATTAAAAAAAGAGAGAGTGAGAAAAAATCTAAGTGGGCTAATAATTCAGACTTTAACTGTATAATCCATAATCTTTTGAAACTCAATTATTTAAAAGGATAGTTCTCCTAAAACTGAAAATACTGTCATCATTTACTTTACTCACCTTTTACTGGTTCCAAACATGTTTGATTTTCTTTTTTTTTTTCTTTTTTTTTTTGAACATGAAAGAAAATACTTAGAAAAAAAGCTGAAAACCTGTAACCATTCACTTCCATAGTATTTGTTTTAAAAATCAATGGTTATAGATTTTCAGCTCTCTTCAGAACACCTACTTTAGTGTTCAGCAGAATGAAGAAAAATAAAGATTTGGAATCAGTTGAAAGTGAATAAATAGTGAGTTGATTTGCATTTTGGTGAACTACCCCTTTAAATTTGACAAAAGTAAATGCCACTGTTGTCTGCTTGTGCTCAAGCGACTGCCACAATGCTACTGTAACTCACCACTTATGCAGTTACAGCATTAACAACTGTATCATGAACTAATGATTAATGAACGATGAGGTCATTTCTAAAATCATACGCAGCATCATTACATCAGCAGTTGAGGTCATTTCCACCCTGCGCAAATAAATCAGTGACTCTAACGGAGGATGATTCTGAACCGGAACAATAGCGAGTCATTATTAGCCAGCATTACTGAATATCTAGGCCACTGCTACAGGAAAAAAAACAGCAATTGGAAATCAATATCCCGAACAATGCATTTTGTGCATCTGACTAATCTGCTGCTTCAGCATTGAGCCATGGCGACCCACCAACAAATGCGATGAATAATTCAGCTAATATGACTTGCTGGCATTTACAGCTCATCTGCATGCACTATTTGTGAAAGCGCGGATGAAGCTGTCCAAACCGATTCATTAGTTGGTATTCAACATGAAAGGGCAGCGAGAATCATTTTCAGATGTGTTTGCAAACAGCATGACTTACAACGACACACGTCTGTGTCAGGGGAACGCACAGACAACCGGGTTTTACAGCTGATTAGCATATTGAGCAGATGCATAATTTAGGCAAAACATGACAGACGGGGAAGCTCTTGCGTTGATCTGAGACAAATCTCATTGCAAACAGTGTTCGGATCATCCTCTATGTGTTTTCTTGTTTAGCCGTTAACAAGTTTTGTATGAAAACCAACATGCGTTTCAGAGGCTTGTTAGGTGCGAAGGGTTTCGGGTGACTTTGAAGTGACACTCATGCAGTACAGCTTGCATCACGCTCATTTCATCACCTAGAAAGGGAGTACATGATGATGATACAGAGCAATATCCAGCACTTTAAATAAATGCTGAGCTCATGTGGTCCCAGCACAAATTGATTAAATTAATTGCTTTACAAATTTAAGTGGATTGAAAATAAAACAATTAAGTTGTCCACACAAAAAAAAACCTCAAGAATTGTGTTGATTCAGCTCATTTTAAATCGTAACAATAAGCAAAGGTTTTTGAGTGAGCATTTGTCACGGGTGATTGCAAGAAAACAGACCCAGTTGTAGCAATGAACTATTCAAAGGGATTTGTTGACAGAATAAGGCACAAGTAGACACACAAGAGGATGATAAGGTGCAAACGGTAGGGGCAACAACACAGGGAAGCCAGTGGTAGTGACAAGATGGTACTAAAATGAACAGCCAGCCAGGAGTAGGAGCAACAGTGGTCAAAACCAGAGCTAGATCCTGGAGCAGGCCATGTAAACTCCAGATTGGCAGACCAGGGAGGTCAGGACACGGGATAGGACTGGAAAATTATAAGACAGGACAGCACACAGGCAGCAATATTATACAATAAAATAATAAAACTATATCTGAAATGAAATATTAGGATAGAGAAAGACAGACTTGAGCAATCTGATAAAACAAAACTGAAATAAAGACTTCTAGAATCTTAAAGAGAGTACTTAAACAAATCAAACAACTAATAATCAACTACTAAGAAGACTGGGACTGACAGAAAAATGGAACAATGGTTCTAAGGGTAAAAGTAAAATAAAGATTAGAACACAAAATTAAGTAAACACTAGAAACAAACAAAAGAAAGTAGTAGCTACAAACAAACACTAAGTAGACAAGTGAACTAGAACAGACAAGACCAAAAGACAACAAAAAAAAAAACCAGACTACACTTTAAAAAATGCTGGGTTCAACACAATCGATTTGTGTTGGGACAACAGGAATGAACTTATAGTCATCAAGTAGACAGATTATACAGACTTTATATGTGTACTCATTCATTTCTGTTTAGTTGATGACTGGTCTAGTTTTGGCCTATTTTTTAGATGTCTAATGACAGGCCAAATTTTGCCTTGTTTCAGCTAAGACGACTATGTTTAGTAGTGGTGTAACGGATCACAAATCCCACGGTTCGGATCACACTACGGTTTTTTAGTCACGGATCGGACCATTTTTCAGATCAGCAAAAAAGGGAGGAGACAAATGTAATTTGCTTTCCATTTAATCAAACAATATCACTGCAAAAAAAAAACATTGGTTTTACATACAGAACTTAGAACCTGTAATTTTAATAAAAATAAAAATCAAGATAGAGTCAGCTGAAAAAAGGAAAATATTCAGTACGAAAAATAATCTTTGCTACGGTTGCTGATAATACTAAATATAGAAATCTAACATCTTGTACAGGATAACATATAATTACTTTCAATTAATGATTCAACAATTCACACATAAAACTTCATGTTTCATTATAGGTGGATCAGTTTTGAAAACCTTTTCAGTGACTGTAATTT